CTATCATATATCATAATATATGAAGTGAACAACAAATTTCAACAGTAGTGCATTTCTATATGTAAAAAAGTATCAAAATATTTTTCACTGCATCTTATCTCTTCACAAACCACCAAAGTCAACAATTTTGCATTGCTGACAAGAGATTTCCCAGAGATGGCGTAAATCACTGGGTTTCCTGACAGCTGCAGCTGGAGGGGTCTTGGTACAATTTTCGTAATAATGGCCACCATCAAGCGCTAGCTGGGAAAGTGCCACATGAACCACTGTATCTGATCCTTGTCTAGGGGTCTGCAAAAATAACATTTAATTAATTGTAATCACTCTTTAATAACACTGCATTCCCTAAGTCATATCATTCTCATCTTCTAAATCCCTGTGCATTCTCTCTTTCAAATCATTCTCTTCTAAATCCTTATTTTTTCATAACCGATTCTCATCACTTACAGTACATTTTATGCAAAAATATATAACCATACCTTTAAAAAAGCTCTGACCAACCATGGGAAGTAATGTGCCCAGGCCACATGCTGGAACAGCTCTGTGGCCACAACACCAGGATGCACCGCATTAACAATGATATTTTCTCCTGCTGCTCGAATCCGTTCATCCAATTCCTTGGTAAACATCACCTGAGCTAGTTTGCTTTGATTATAAGCAGCCTGTGCATTGTAATAGATTCTGTGAAAAAAGGAAATATTTGTATCAACATGTGGTAAGTTAGACTAATACCAAATCAGAAATCTAATGTACAAATCATAATTATCATTACTAACATTATTCTTTTTACTATTATCATTAGATAGTTTCAGAATACAATCTCAAGAATTTATTACATATCCATACTTGCTGTTGATGTCTTCAAAATTTATTGAGCCAATGTAATGTGTAGATGATGAGAGATTGACGACACGTGCAGGTTTATCTGGAGTAGAGCTGGCTTTCAACACAGGCCACAACAGGTGAGTCAATAAGAAATGACCAAGATGATTAACACACCAGTGATACTCAAAGCCATCTTCAGTTACTTCCTGCGGCCAGAACATAACGCCAGCTGCAAAGAAAGGAAATAAATAATACAAATTGGTCAACTATTCTCATATTTCAATGTGTAAGTTGCATCAATCTGTCTATCTCAAAAGTATGTCAAAAATCACTAATACTGAATTTTTGTTTTGATTTGAGATTTGACTGTGTATAATGAATTAGAGGCTGCTATTCTGGGTAGGACCAATAATTTCTCTTGCAGTTTTGTTTATCAGTTTGCTCTTTCATGATCTTAAAAAACAACAAAATAAAATAAAAAAGAAACAAACCACCATCACAAAATAAACAATAAGAGAACCTTTGGTGGAACTCAAGTTTTCAATCTTTTTTTGCAATATCTTGAACTGTACCACAAAACTTACCATTGTTAACAAGCACATGTAAAGGAAGTCGAAGAGCCTTGAAAGCCTCTGCAAATCTTCTCACGGAGGTTAAGCTAGACAAATCCAGGTCTAAGCATATAACTTTCCCTAAATCTTTGTTGCTGCCTCTCACTTTTGACACAGCTTTCTCAAGCTCTGGCACATTTCTTCCACCTGGAAGCAAATTTAAGACATTTAGCACCATGGAGAACTTCCTAATCATTCACATATGAGCCATTACTATATCATTATGAAACTGGAAGATTACATTACTGAATTACAATAAGGGTCTCCAAGTCCCATAAAAAATATATAAATAATGAGAAGTGGGTCTATGCTTTACACAAGCTTGAACGACTGTTATTTACTAAAATCTACAACTTCTGAATAACAATCACATATATTTTTGCCAGTCTACTGACAAGATTTGTCTTTCTTTCTTTAACATTGTATTCTTATCTTTCAGTACTATATTACCATACAGTTGAAAGATAGATTGGCTACTCACTACTATTCACAAATGATCATCTGCCGCTGGTTATTACTTGATGCTTACAAATACCTATAATTTTTTTCTACTTATGTAAGTATTAAGGAAAAGGTATCATGCATGCTTCTGTATCATGAATATAATTTACTATGATAAATCTATTGATAATTCTTTACATTTGGCATACCAATAACGACTGTCATATCCAGTTCAAGAAACTGCTGCACAGTTTCCAGACCAATGCCTCGTCCTCCGCCAGTCACAATTGCTACGCGCCCACTTTGATTCAAAATTCCTGTAAATAAGAATGAGAAAATTTTTACTACATAATTGTACGCATTTTTTTTTTTTTTTTATAACTACTTATATAAATTTATACACCCTGATGGTAATTCACATATCAGAAGTATGAAGCAGAATCTTTATCATAAATCAGGCATTTTTCAGCAAGTAAAGAAAAGAAAAGAAGAAAAAAAAAGGATAAATAAAGAAATAATAATATTTGTCTTAAGGACACAGTTTCGGGACAAATTCTGATGGCTTGGCTTTAACATAAAAGAATATACCATATATAATTATTAAGTCCTTTTGCATACGAGTG